CCAGGGCTAACTTCAGCCCGTCTTCAGGGGCCAGGGCTAACTTCAGCCCGTCTTCAGGGGCCAGGGCTAACTTCAGCCCGTCTTCAGGGGCCAGGGCTAACGTTAGCCAGTCTGCAGTGGCCAGGGCTAACTTCAGCCCGTCTTCAGGGGTCAGGGCTAACTTCAGCCCGTCTTCAGGGGTCAGGGCTAACTTCAGCCCGTCTTCAGGGGCCGGGGCTAACGTTAGCCGGTCTGCAGCGGCCTGGGCTAACTTCAGCTCGTCTGCAGGGGCCGGGGCTAACGTTAGCCGATCTGCAGCGGCCGGGGCTAACTTCAGCCCGTCTGCAGCAGCCAGGGCTAACTTCAGCCCGTCTGCAGCGGCCAGGGGTTAACGTTAGCCCGTCTGCAGCGGCCTTCAAGTTGTTACCCATAGGAAGACGTTACTGGATATCACCTAACGGAATATCTTCAGAACGGATCCACATGACACTAAACTCATATGGGAGAGTAGAACATGATGGAAAAACGGAAAATCAAGGGACCAATGGAAAAAACGGCGTTCCCCTGTAATTTAAGAAATGTTGACTTATTTCTAGACAGTTATTGTAATGTGGAGCTCATCAAATGTTGCTGCTGCTTGTCCCGCCTCCAGGCCAGCAGGAAGTCAGCGTTCCCCTGAATCAGGACGTAACCCTGGCGTGTCAGAGCGACAGCAGCCTGGACAGCATCTCGGTTCTGAAGTGGAGCAGAGCGGACCTGAAGGTAGACGGTTACGTCTACTTCTACAGGAACAGGCGCTGCTTTGAGAACTACCAGCACCGCCGCTTCCAGGGGAGAGTGATGCTGCGGGACGGCGGCATGAAGGGCGGCGACGCCTCTCTGATCCTGAAGAACGCCACCTGGGAGGACGCCGGGCTGTACGAGTGCGACCTGGTGGTGGAGAGCAGGAGGCAGACCTCTGAGATCAGGCACGCCATCAGGCTGACGGTCACCCCTGCAGGTGGGTGTGGGGCTCTGGGGGGTTCTGCTTCTGTCTGAGGGGTTCTGATCCGACAGCTCGGTTCTGTTCTGTGCAGCTGAGACACGGGACGGCGTGATGGACAGCTTCAAACAGCCAGAGGAGGATGAGGATGGGAGAACCGGCAGCAGGGATGGAGCTGGAAGAAGATGCTACACTGTTACCATGGTTACTGTAGTTTCTGCAGTTTTAATTGCTGGTTTTATCACATTCAGGATATTTAAAACACGTTTTTTGATGCCTCATCAACGAAGCAGGTCAGAGACTCTGGATCCTCAAAGTTTGACCCAAATTCTGTCACCATCAGAACCAAAGAAATTTAAAAACTTTTCATCCTGCTGCTCTTTGCAATTTATAGGTTTATGAATGTTTTTTTTTTTTTTTATTCTGCTGCTGTCTGAATCAGACAGTATTCGTTTATTTATTTTAGAAGCAGTTTCATTTTTAAAGTCGATTTCTCCCTCATGCTGGTGGATTCATCATTAATTTTGTTTTCTTCTGAGAAAGAAAAGTGGAAGTTGTGGCTAGAAATGTATGGTGCAATAAATTGATCTGACTGTGAACTACTGAGATGACATGGCATTAAATAAATAAACTGAATCTAATTACATTTTATTGAAATTCTTTTCTTTTCATGATGATTTAGTTTTGTGTTAGAAGTGCTTTATAAATTGGGGTTGGATTGGATCCTGTTCTAATCTTTCAGTTCTCCTCGAATTGTTGATTTTTAAACATTTTAAAT